ATCAATCGGTGCTTTTGTTTTTATTGTGTCAGCTTTTCTACACACGTAGAAAACAAAATGAACGAGTTGGTTTTTTTTTCTCGGATATATTAAGTGTTTTGGCGTGATAATTTTGTGTTGCCTACAGTATATTTATATTATTTACAATAATATGGTTGACAGCTAAATAAAATCGTAGATTAAGTAACGCAGCTTGAGTTAACACTGTTGCTCTTCTATTTTCTTAAATAGAGCCTTTGCTAGGACTCCCCTCGATGTCTTTCGAAATTCAAGTTCTGCTAAATCTAAAGGAAGGAAATAAAGGAAAAACAAGGCTGAATGTTCCGCACCCAAGTTCCCATCATTACATTTTCCCAACTATTGTCACACAAAATGGCATGCATGATGTAGCTTGCTGTAACTAAAAAAAAATTTAAAATAGGCCTAGCATAGTCGCATCCTATTCAATGCAAATAAACAAATAGTATTTAATTTGTTAAAATTTAGATAAGTACAAAATGATATTTTATAGGCGATTCGTAACATATATAAGCTTTTAAACATAACTGAATGGGTAGTATGAATAGTAAACGCAAACAAAACGAACAATAATCGTCACATGACCTAGTTATAACTGACGTAATACATATTATTTTCATTGTAAATAATGGTGGCATTTGTACTGGTACTATTATCCAATTGGTTATAAAGTAAACAAAAGATGTAGTATTATTGTCATAACTCACTTCTATTGTTAACGTAAGAGAAAAGCACCATATGTTTCAAATCAGGGGGTTACCATCACCTATATTAACTATGTTTATTCCGTGCAACAAGCAGGACAGCTTTATACGGACCAATAGCTGTGTCCCGCTTGCTGCGCAGTTTATGAACTGCTATAAGAATTATGGTTTAGCCCCAGATCTCTACAAACTTTATTCTTACGCCAGTTGATTGATTTGTTTCTTTGTTTTACTCTATGAATTTATCTAGTCAACTAGTTTATTGTAATTTATTCCAAGTTTCCAATATTTAGTTATTTAATAAATGATTGCTTATATTAATGATGCATATGTTAACAACCTTTGAAATGGTTTGATAGATCCAATGCCTATTTAATTTTTTTAGGTGACGAGAAGAAAATGAATGATCTTTAACATGAATGCTTACTGTAAATATAGGGATGATAATTTATAATCCAATCGTTTTTCTTCTAAAATATATTAATTCACAAAAGAATTACTATTCGAACCTTTTTTAGCAGCTATCACGTTTGATATTTGATACTTATTTATCGACTATAAATACATATTAATCTTAATCATAGCATACGATATTTAGCCTTTAATAAGTCGTTTAGCAAAATTCCGAAAAAAAAATATTCCATTTCTAGTTTATATGTCGTTAAAATAAATTGTTATTAGAATTTACCAGGTATAACATGATATTTTTATCGCAGACATGGGTTTTTGAAGCAAAAACATATAGCTAGAATTTTTCTTGTTATTTTTGTAATTCTTAAAATAACTGAGATAATAAATTAATATCAATAGGATAATAAGGCAATATTTTCTGATTTGCTAAACATTATGTAAGCCCGACGATATCATAATTAAATACGAGTACTTTCACTACATCTTAAAAGCCTATTTAGAAGAATGTGTTTTAATCGACAGTTCATATTAAAAGATTTTTGGTCTGCTGCACAAACATCCATTAATTTTTAATGTCACCTTTAAGCTCTAATGAATCTCAAATTTGTATCGGTAATGTCGCTTCAAACTAAAGACAATTATGGACGTTTGTGCAACTGGCTGATAGGGCTATAGAATAAAGTTTTGGAGGTCCCTAACAAAGTATCTAAATGTCACTGTCAACAGGCCAATTCTGCTAATAATTGCATCTCAATAGTCTCAACGACTTGCATTTCACCAATGCACTATCTACACAATGTCTAATATTGTTAGTGCCACAGAACACACCTCTTTTCCGTGTTCTGTGGTTAGTGCAATGTCTTCCTGACACATCAATAGTAACAGATAAAATAATAATATTGGATTTCAGGTGAGTAGCTGGGTGGCGTAGTAGATAAGCGCCGCGGCCCACGAACGTTGTTGTTAAGCTACTTTTGCAAGGGTCGGTCATGGGATGGGTGAGCAAAAACATATTATCTCTAGGTATTCCGTGCTTCGAAAGGCACGTTAAGCCGTTAGTCCCTGTTGCATTTGTAATCATACCCTCCAATCCGAATTAGAACAGCGTGGAGGGTTATAACTCATTCTCCTTAATCATCTCTAAGGAAAGGTTCATGCTGTGCATGGATCTCTAAAGAAGACGTAAGTATGGACACGTGAGAGTGGATTGGTGCGTGTTAACGATTGCAAATGTAGCTAGAGCCTATGAGCCTTCGGAAGTACCGAGGTGATAATAAATCTTTGGCTACCCATCCTATACTTGACAATACGACAGTTGCTTAAACTCCGCCCCTGCATCATCGAGCATCCATTCATAATATACTCGGTTTTCCCTATTAGGAATAATTTAAAAAGGAATTTATAATAAGACCTTCATAATTTTACTCGTTTAAATATTTAAATTTTTCAGAGACTAAGTTGTATTACACATCATATCTGGCGTGGTGCTGTTTTTCTTTCTGTTTAATAATACATGGCGTAAGTGTATGGTGTGCCAAAAGATCCATTAAAAATACGTGCGATCAATTTTGAACTGAACAATTATAAATGCAATCATGTAATTGTTAAAAATACTGTGCTGTGCAGATTGTGCTATCCATAATTAATTTTCCAAAATATTTTTTATTTTTCCAAAGTAAATATTTGTTTCACTAAGTATCAAATTATTTTTATTTCAATGACTACATGGAAACATAATATAATGAACCTAATTTCTATTGTAAAGCTCTTTATTTGAATATTAATTTGATTTCAGATATTTGTTAACTTCTTGATATAAAAATGAAAAATTTTTGAAGCTAAACTTTTTGAACTGTTAAAATTTTCTCTGGAAATAAAAAATTATATTAAGCTACAAGAAATAAATCCAACAAGAAGAGAAACTACAGGCTATTTCTTCCACTATTTTCATTCGTGATTGAAATGTAAAACCCCCGTTTTTCGCCCATAAATATCTGGGGCCGGTAATGACGTCTATAAGCCTGAGGCAATGAGCTGAAAAAAAAACGTATCGACCAGCGGTTCGTATGTATTGTGCCATAAAGAACGGAACATACTGTGATAAAAGTATTTTTCGCTTCTATTGCTGAAAACGTTTGTCATTACAGTGTACTAATGAGTGACTTAAATAGTATTTATTTATTACTAGAAGTATTTGTTCTTCAATCCTTTTTTAAAGTCCAAAATATATTTTTGAAATTAAAAGTAATAAAAAAGAAAATTAAGTATTAATGGTACATGGTTATTAAAGGAATTAAAATGTAAAATAAGCATAATTGATTTTATACCATTTCAACTAATTTATATTTATAATTTTAATGTAATTTTTATAATAAATAGCGATTTGTGTCTAACAAATCGCTAGGTAATGAAATTTAATACTCTATCAAGCGGTGTCTGTCCACCGCTTTATTTCTCTTCAATCAAAAATGTAATCTGACGTCATAGCGAGCGGTCCCCATAAAAGAGTGATGGCGATCACCTACCTCATTTCATATTCCATGTGTAATATGGAATTTTGGTGCTATTTGTCTCTCTGTCATCAGTCCTCCATCTATCAGTTGGTCGCTGACTCGAGAAACTATGAATAGGTTTTTCCTGCTTCGTAAGGCACCATCGAGAGTTTTCGGTGACATTTTCCGACCTCTTACTTACACAAAGTCGTAGTCGATGACTATGAGACGTTTTTTAGTATTATATTTTTATGGGTTTTCGTACCAAAGAAAAATGGAACACTATTAGGATCACTCGCTTGCTTCTCTGTCTGCCACAACTAATTTTTGTGAAGCAACTGTATTGAACTTTGGTACACATATACGTATATAAATTGATAAATTACAATAGTTATCGTTAGTTAGTGTACAATAAAACGAAGGCTTCTAATTCAATGTACTGTGGCCCTTCAATAATCAACTTTATATTTACTCATAGGTAGTTCTTGACATGATTTTAAAATTTACTTGCCGGCAGGTTAATTACATTGTTTTTCATTAAACATAGTTTCCTCTCGTTTTTAGAAGTCGTACGCTTGAAAACGGTATGCTTATTTTTATTGTGAATTAAATATAATCTAAGTGTTATAATCTAAGTAATGACATTTACGTCAATAATGTCAATACCAAAATAATACCCAATCATTTTATTAATAAACAAGGTTTAGCGTTGGACTAAATTTACGCTGAGACTGCACTTAATATTTGGCAAATTTCATATTATTACACAGAGACTTAGCAAAGGTTAACCTAGTACGAGGTTCTACGGGAGTCGTATTTTCTCTTAAAAGATGATCGGTTTGTTTATTTTCTGTATAGTATGAATTTGGATTAATACTAATGGAGTAAATTTACGCTGAGACTGCACTTAGTATTTGGCAAATTTCATAATATTACACAGAGACTTAGTAAAGGTTAACCTAGTACGAGGTTCTACGGGAGTCGTATTTTCTCTTAAAAGGTGATCGGTTTGTTTATTTTCTGTATAGTATGAATTTGGATTAATACTAATGGAGTAAATTTACGCTGAGACTGCACTTAGTATTTGGCAAATTTCATAATATTACACAGAGACTTAGTAAAGGTTAACCTAGTACGAGGTTCTACGGGAGTCGTATTTTCTCTTAAAAGATGATCGGTTTGTTTATTTTCTGTATAGTATGAATTTGGACTAATACTAAAATTGCAATTTTGGCGAAATTTACTCTGACGCTAAACCTTGTTTATTAATATCACTGAATAGGTTTAACAATTCTCGAGTTTTGCGTTTAGAAACACATTTAGTGATTATTTTTTATTCATATAGACTAAAACTATTGTTGTTCATGCTACTTACTCGAAACACGTTTGCCGTTCTTCCGCCACTGTATGTTAGGCATGGGGTCGCCTTTAGCTGCGCAATAAAAGGCGGCTATCCCGTTGGCTCTCACTTGGAGATTCCGAGGTCGAATCGTAATCTCCGGCGGATCTGTAATAAAATAAAACATATCAATGAATAAATGTGCCTAGATATGATTTATTTATACACAAAATTATATTTTTTATGTGTAATTAATATTATACAAAAAATGTTCCAAATCACATATGTACATATTTAAATTATAAAAAAGCCGGCATTTAACAAAGATTTCATTTCACTCGTCGAAAATAATTTTTATTTTGTTCATATCATGATAAAGTAGCAATTTTCTTCAAATTTTAAAATCACATTAAGTTTCAATGTCAAAAATATTCAAGGAAAATGGAAAGAAAGAAAAGTGAATCTCGACGAGATTCAAGCGTGTAACAGCTCTTTATTAAGTTTAGCAACTTGTGATAACGCAACGCTTATGTCGCTAAGTTGTAAAATTAGGACAATACTTGATGCCGAATACTATATAATTCAATAGGAAAGTTATGTACGTTATGCAAATCGTCTCGTCCCAAAACCTTTGACTAATTCGGACCTACCAATATGAATAATGTATGGACAGCCAACGTAGGTTTTTACTGTGCAACCCCTTAATGTTTGAACTATGAATAAATTATAAAAGTATATTTAAATGAGAACGTACATATTCCACGGTGAACATCCATAGAAAACAATACGTTGTTTTTCTAATGAAACGATGTGTAATGAGGATAGAAAAGCAGTTGCTGATTTATTAAAAATGGGAAGTGTTTTGATAAAAAATAATGGATCACAGAATAAATCATAAAAGAGAATAAAACTCAAGTATACTTTTTAATATTAGAACATTAATACCAACCGGTATATTAATCGGTAAATAAAAGTTTAAAAATGTAACAAATGATGATTTAGTGTGTCTAAATGAAGTATTTATTTCTAACCAACAACTTTTGGATGGAAAAAAGCAATCAAATGGAATCTAAAAAGTATTTTTAAACGAATTCAACACAATGATAATGAGCTAACCCCGCAAACTTAGTATAAAAATAAAATATAGATTAAGTTATATCTTGATAATATAGTTTTGTATAAGTGAGAGAATTTTGAAAATAGGTTTATTAGTTTTTATACCAGTTAGTATAAAGAGAAAAGATTTGCATGTTTTTTGTTTGTTTATTTGCAACGAATACTACCGATCCGATTTAAAAAATTATTAAAGCTACATCATATGCGGTGAACATAGCCTATACTTTACCCCGAAAAACAGCAAATAAAGGAAACAAAATGGGGTTGGAAATTTGTATAATGAATCATAACGTTACCATTGTTTACTATTCAATTTGTCATTATAATTATATCTATGTTTTGGTATGAATCAATAACCAAATAAACAGTTCCTTATGGACCACGCGAGCGAAGCCGCTGGCGGGAAGCTATTAATATATAAATGCTGCATGTATTTTTATGAAATAGTTAAAAAATTTGTAGTTGCGCCTATGGGAATATTGATAAAAAAAACAAGCAGAAACACTGTCATATAAAAATGCAACGTTGCGTTAAAACCGGGTCATACCATTAATTTGTTGTTTGAGTTTTGCGGATGTAAACATAGAGTCACCGTATTTTTTATAACACTAATATATTTTTATTTATAAAAAAATATCGAAGAATTAAATCAAAGATATTTTCAAATATATAGAACATATTTCTACAATAGTTTTGTAAAAAAGATAGCGAATTTGGAAGTTTATATGGATGCAAGGTTGATTCCAAAAACCATGGTATGTCTTTGAAAATTACATTCATTAGTGGAAAAGAAAATTATTTAACATAGGTATATACTTTAAAAGGGTACCATGACAATATAGCCGCTACCAGAAACCAGTAGTTTCATAATTAAAAATAGAAAATAAATAGAATTGGAACATCAAAACTTAATTGATTAGTCATTTGGAACGAAAATCAAAATCTAACAATGAATCTTTAATAGATACATAATAACAATATATATTATTCTGATAACTGTTACAAATACAACAAAAGCTTCAGAGACTCCGAAATTACGTTAGGTTGATATTCAAAAGGGTCTGTTGTGAACCTCAAAGCCGTAAATAACATTGAAAATCACAAGTCAAAGACGTTACCAATGTACACTGTACTTTATTAACAACAAAACCAGGGCAATGCGAATTTAATTTCTTCCCCTGAAAAGTGGAAGTTGGGGAGTTTGAAACTTTGTTTCTGTAACGGCGCTGGGCGACGGGTTATTTTGCGAGTGGCTTTAGGGGACTCGATGTGGTGGCCGAAATCACATATATTTAATCACTCCTGAGACTATAGACTACTGCGCTATTGCATGTAAGGTAACTGAAACTGACGGCGGGGGTGATACGTGACGTTTGGGAGTGACAAATATGGGAGCGACTAGCGGTGACGATTGGGGTTGAGTCATGATGAAATAGGGGGGTGAAAAGTTTTCAATAAGGACATGTGACAAAAATAATTGCTATTACAAAGATTTTGATTAACACGACTATGCATCACGATTTCATATGAACTTACATTTACCATCACCAATTAGACAGGCTAAGTCTAAGTTTGCTTTTAAAAATTTTGAAAAATTAATTTTATTTATAATTTAAATGAATTAATGAATTTATAATGAATAAGTACATGATTATGTTTGGAAAATTTCAACTTTAAATGGATATTTAAATATTAATTTAATATGTTACTTTATGTACTATTTAATTTGTTATTTCGATTATATTGGTTATTTCTACATATTTAGAAAAATTGCACTTGAGATATTCTTATCTTCTGCTTTTTACACAACGACAATTTACTTAATTTAGTCTTATAAGTAACAACTCACGCGCAACTTTTAGCCTCCGTCTGAAAATCAGCGTTATGACTATAGGTTTTTTGTCGTCGTGATATATGCTGAGCCGGAGACTTTTTCACCACTGTGGCACAGCGCATTAGCCAATAATAGTATCTTTTTTAATGATGTCATTATCACTTTTGTAATATACTGTGCAACAACGTGGGAAATAAACTTTATATTATATTTAAGTAATGTTTTAAATTCAATTATCAGAACATTGTTAGAGATGCAGGCATTACAGTGTTATCTCGCAATTGTGTAAGGCAATGTCGATTTACGAGTAGAACGAAATTATATATCACTTTTCAAAATTCTGTTATTCTATCCGTGAAAGATGATAAGTAAGTCATAGCTAACTAACATTTGCTATTTTGTTATGATTGATTTATTTTGTGTATATTTTAATAAATAGACATGATGTATGATGACGAAAAGAGAGCACAGATACCGCAGGGAGCGTTTGATATCTGAACTAGAAAATGGAATCGCATTTAGTTTTGTGTGGGTCGGGTCCCTTGGTTCAACGATGTGACATTAGTAAGCGTATTCGCTTTTACGTATTTTCGAGATTGTCGCGAAGCAGTTAAAATATTCATGGGCCGGTCGCTGTGGTGGTCTACGTGGATTAAGTAATTTGAAAAAATCGAAGCCAGCCTTGTTTTGATCGTAAAACATTTACATAACGGAATAACTTCTGAACGAGTTCAAAAGCGTGTATGTATTAATATTAATAAACATAATAATATAATATCAGATTTATAAAACCACTTGGAGCCATGTTCTTTTTCATCTGATTTATACGAAATTTCTACGATAATTCTCCATTTTTTCTTAAGTATCTATTAAACGATGATTATGCTTTTTAATTTTTATTTTTTCTGAGTAGTAGCCAAAAAAGATTATGCGAAGTCTGTTTTGCAAGTTTTGCAGAATTCTTTCAGAAAGAGTAAACCACTAGTAAAACATTTCAATAATGCACTGAGGAATGAATATTATAAACCACAATCAGACAAAGATAAAAGCATAGTATTCATGACGCCATAATCAAGCGAACCGGAAGCGGGATTGACAAGAACAAAAAGCGTCCCATTCAACTAATTCTTTCGCTTTTTTAATGCGCTCAAAGCAGTGACTCCGCAAACAAGATACTTGGTTTTGTTACTACTATCAATACTATGTTGTTTTTTTTTCGGCGTACCATTTGAAGTAGTAAGCTTTCAATTAATAAAAAAAAAAATTATCGAGACATCGAATACGAAAAGCCCAATCACGTCGCAGTGTGTCCTTCGGTCCATGTGCAACACTATTCACAGGATTCTCATTTCAAAAGAGTTTTTGTGTTATGATTTTGAGTTTCGTTATTCAAAAAGGATGAGTAGTTTGAAAATAAACAAATACAATTTGGATGTGGTGGAAGCGGAAATAATTGATATGTTGTGAATATGAGCAGTCACAGTAGTGAAAGGAGTTCGTTAATTCTTTACTTCGCATTTTACAATTTCATTCAGCATTGCGATATTTATGCTATTTACTAAAAAGAGAACTATAAGAATCTTTATCGAAGTCACCTCATGTTCGTTATAAAGAAAAAAATGAACTAAGTTATATTTTTTTCTTGATTCTATTTTCTTAATTATTTATGTGGCACCATTAATATATGTTCATTATAAAGAAAAAATTAAACAAAGTTATATTTTTTTCTTCATTCTGTTTTCTTAATTATTTATTTAATTAAATAAAGCACAAAGTCACAAATAAAGATCCAGTTTGGAAAATTATTAATATTAATCAATGAGAGGACGATTGTTGCGGTAAGAATATTCAGGTTGCCATAATTGAGTTTAAGCAAACAAGATGACCGCGACATTATTGCTCACCATTTGTTTGCAATTTCATATCAAGTTATTGGCTCAAAAAATAAACAGTTTGTAAGTTCTTTGCCTTCTTTTTTTTCTAAGTTTTTTACCCTCCAATCCGCATTGGGCCAGCGTGGAGGGTCATGGCCCATCCTCCTTAACCATCCATAAGGAAGGCCTGAGCCCCTGTAGTGGGGACGTAAAAGGGCTGGTGAAGTGAAGTTCTTTGCCCAAATACTATAAAATTTTATTCAGTGAACCGTTTGAATCAAATATTACAACAGCAATAATAATTACATAATTTTAACACATTACTCAACGTAATGTTTTACTTT